CAGGGCAGGGCCGGCCCCGCGCACCACTGGGACGTGCAGGTGAGCAGTGGCCCCGGTTCAGCGCTCCCGCCAAGCTGGGACACTGTCAGGCTGCAGCTGCACAGCAGGGCTGGCCAGCTGGGCAAGGCGAGTGGTGGCCCTAGCAGTGTCTGCAGCTGCTTCCCTGCCCATCTGCTTGCTCCAGGAGCCCTGCGGGCAGCGTCAGTGCAGGAACAGCCTTTATTAAAGCAAAATAACCTACAAAAATATAGATACAGCCTGTGCCCCAGGCCTGATCTGGCGAAGGAGGAACAAGGCTCCTGCCCAGGGCAAGGACTAGCTCAGCCACACAGAGCCTTTGGCCACAGGGGTCGCGTGCACCCAACTCTTCAGGCCAGGCCCGTTCCAAGCCCCTGGGTTCGCTCTCATCCTCCGAGCAAGCGTTCCTCCCACGGGTGGAGGTTCCCTACCAGCACAGCGCGCAGCTGCCCCAGTCCCGTCCTGGGCCAGGGCATGTGGTGGAGCGGAGGCTGTCCCCCGCCAAGGGTCTTCAGGGGCAGTGCTGCTCCCTGCAGAGCCGCTTCCGCTAAGGAGCGCAGCGTGTGTGTGTGTGCAGCCGGTGTGATGACTCCACTGCGGCCGGGCAGCGCTGAGGGGTGTTAAACGTGGGCACAGCAGAGACAAGCCCTGCCGGCATGCGTGGAGGTGGCCGTGGGACCCTCCCGTCCCCTGGCAGGGCACTCACTGCTCCTGCGTGCCCCAGGAGATGTAGTCGGGGCGTGTGGCTGCATGGTACTCGTCGATCAGCTGCTGCACGATCTCCCGGGAGTTATCCAGCTCGTCGAAGTTGTCCTTGAAGATGTCCTCCTTGCGGAACTGCTCCAGGAAGGCCTCCCGCTTGCGCAGTTTGTCGTACTGCCGGCACGTCCGCTCAAACAGCTGGAGAGCAGCACAGCAGTCAGATGGGCCAGAGCTCCCGGGGGATTCCGCAGGGCAGGGGGGGGGGCCTGACCTCCTCAGGCTGCTGCCTAGGAGGAGGCAGGCAGGCAGGCAGCCCCAGGCCAGCAGATCAGCTTGTGCTTCCGAGGCTGCCTTTGGCCAGGGAGAAGGAGCCCTGCTGCAGCCTGCTCCTGGGAGAACAGCACCAGGGGTGCAGGAGGACTGAGGGGACCCCAGACCAGACCTGAGCCCTGCTGTGCCCCAGCTGGGAGCTGCCCGCCCTCCCCTCACCTATAGGCCCTGCTGGGGGCTTTGTGAAAGCCCCACAGAAGACGCATTTGTGACTGAAACGACATCAAAGCTGCAGCTGTGGAGCCCCAGTGCTGCCCGCGGCATAGGGGGAAGGCACTCACCGAGGAGATGTTGGTGTGGTTTGCCATCATGAGGCCGCTGACACGGTGTGCAGACGGCAGGTAGGGGGACTTGCGGGACAAAGCCACCTGGATGCTGGCAGGACCCCAGGGGATGAAGTTGGCCAGCTTCCTCTCCCGGATCCGCTGCAGACTCTTGTGAACCTGGCGGGATGAGAGCAGCAAGGGGCAGCAGGGTGATGGGCAAAGCAGCCTGGTCCCTCCCAGCAGACCCAGAAGCTGCTCCTCGCATGACACAGCCTCAGGAAGGTGGACTTCAGCAAACAGCAGGTAGGGAGGCTCCTCACGGCAAGGGACTGGTGGCCTTTCCACGAGGCCAGGGCCCACACAGGACCAACTTGGAGCCAGTTCTCCGGCACTGCTCAGTCTCACCCCAG